GGTTACCTCGATCGAATGCGTGAGCGCCGACGGTAGGTATTTGAATCCCATGATAATATGGCCTGCATCCACGCATCGATCAAACTGGACCACACATCCCACCCCGGGATGGCACTATGCATATTCCGACAGCGGCTACACCGACTCATATATTAGTCTGCAGTGGCTGAAGCTCGTATTTGACCCCCAGACTAAGGAACGAGCTGATCACAAACCACGTGTACTAATATGCGATGGCTTTGGAACGCATGAGACCCTCGAGGTGTTAGAGTTCTGCTTTGAGAACAACATCGTACTCTGTCGTCTGCCTTCGCACACATCCCACAAGCTTCAACCGTGTGACGTGTCAGTGTTCGGGCCATTGAAGACAGCGTATCGCGACCAGGTGGAACGACTTGAGCGGGGACAAGTAGGAACGATCGGCAAGGAGCATTTCACGTACTTATATAGTCCTGCGAGGGAGAAGGCGTTCACGCCTAGGAACATTAGGGCTGGGTGGGCCAAGGCAGGCCTCTTCCCCTTCAATCCAGCCAGGGTGCTCGACGACATTCCTAAGCCCCTTGCTAAGATAAATGCGAAGACAGCGAATGAGCTGGCTGCAGACCGTAGCATCCAGGATCAGGTACCTCAGACGCCCGTGACGCCGGCCTCAGCAGAGGCTGTTGCCATGTTACACAACCTTATTCGACAGGATGCACATCTGCGTGATGAGCCAAGCCGACTGCGTCTGCAGAAACGCTTGGAGAAGCTCACTAATGCCACTCAGCTGTCGTTCGCTGAACGCTGTCTTCTTGAGGAACACGTCCATTTCCTAACCAGCATAAACAACGAAGCAAAAGCCCGTCGAACAGCCAAGTCAGAGAAGTTAGGATCAGCAAGGGTAACGAGTTTTGAAGATCTTGAGAAGCTACGTGCAGAGCGTGCGATAAAAGAGGCAGAGAAAGCAGCTAAGAAAGCCGAGAAAGAGGCCAAGGAGGCCGCGGGTGTATCAATAGAAACAGGAGCTGCAGAGAGCAAGAGCAAGGGCGGTCGTAAGCGGAAAAATGCGGCAACAAACATCGACGCATCAGAGCCGATGGCCAAGGCAGCACGGACGAGCGAGGAGCAGGTAGCAAACCCTGGACAATTGATTTCGTGGGAGGAAGAGCATAGATATGCACCAGAGCCATTCCGAGCACCGGTAGCACGTATAGCTAGAAGCCGAAATGGAGTCCGATAGCTTTTACAAAGTGTTTCTGACCTGACTTACCTTAGGCTACAAACCTACAGTCGATTCGCTCTGGACTCAGCTGATTCGAGTCTCCAATGTTTTGGTCTTCTTTGGTACGTTGCAAAACATGATAAAGTATCAAGGAATCAAAACGAGCTATCCACGTGACAAAGCTCTTGGAACAATGCCGGCAGCACAAAGCAAATCGACCGGGTGATTTGGGGCTGGAATTGGCTTAGCTAATGCTTGTTAACTACAGCACGATTAATGATATCACAGCTAAGCGCTAGCCCGAAGCGTCTTCGCTTTGTCAACAGGTACCTGTCGGCGTGGCGATCTTGCCTCCATGATCGACATACGGCCGCCACCAAGCTGAGAATAAGGTTTGAACGCAATGGTAAGGCTGCTGGCGCTACAAACTGCCTCTCAATGTACGTTGGCAGTTTGAAGACCCTACAATCCGGCTCTGGTGCAGTCGTCGACAAATTAGGCCTGAGACAGGCCTTCTTGAAGGCGAGCGACGACGTCGCCACAACACCACTCTATGTCATCGGAAGGACTCAGAGAGGCGAAGGAGTACCTGATCTAGCGAGAACACACAAAATGAAGCGCAAAAACGTATTTGTGAGGGCTCGATAGTCTTATCAGTTCAAAGTACCTTGGGTTTGGTTCGCTACGGAGGGCGGCTCGTGACGTGGGGATGGACGTTATCTAGAATGACCCTGACTAAGGTTTCGACGGTTTCTGCGAGGCTGCAGTGGCGTCGTTGAATTTCGACGCAGCAGCATGTAGGGTTTCTTGTTCCAAGGCGACTATATAGTACTGCAACCATCCTCTCCACACTCTTAGCCGAACATGGTGAAGGTATCCTCCCCAAGCTCATATAATTCAACACCGGAAGGTACCTATTAGCGTGGCGATCTTGCATTCTCGATCAACATGGAGCCGCTACGAACGTGGGAATAAGCTTTGAAAGCATAAGCAGGACTGTCCGGACAATGTACTACTATAAGATGTATCTTATCCGTCGAAACACCTCTAAGCCAAATCATTGACGAATGTAAAGAAGCCTTCTTTAAGTTGAGTGGCTAGGACCCCACATTATCGCTGTTTGTAATCGGAGCGAGTTTAGAAGGTAGAGAAGTACCTCATCTAGCATTTCCGTGCGAAAGGAAGCAGATGTAGGTACTAATAGAAGAACAACCTTCCCTTCTTTCCTCCCCCGGGCAGCCCCTTCTTGCAAACCTTTCCGGGCCCGCCCTCCGATTTAGCCCCACACATAAGTCTATATTGCGGCACTAAACCTGCTCTCGGGTTGTTTGTGAGTCTGTTGCACAGTGGCTTTCAACATGGACATCAAGCCAGTCGAAACCGTCAATGGCGTAAAAGCGACCTGCTACAGCCAGAATGCTTGGCGAAGAGTAGTTGCAGTCCTACATAGGAAGAGGCGTACCGATGTTGTCGTGGAAGTAGCAACGATGACTCAGTCTACAGGGAAGATGACAAACATCCCTCTCTGCGAGATTATAACAGCAGCGACGGTCCGTTTTTCGAGTAGCGGCATCTTGAACGACAATTCAATAGAAGCTAAAGCCGTGAGCTACGGAGCAGTGATGAACCTCTCATGGGACATCATCGCTTATCGGCAACCGAAGTCTGGTAAAACATACAAGAATCTCCCCGAATGTCTGGTCATAGGCGAACTGCCAGGTACAGCCCTCCGAGCATACTACACAAGGAGTCAGCTCTACAGAGCATACTCTAGAGACCTAGTCGACGAGTTCTTTACGCCCATCTACAGCGTCATCCACAACTTAGTGGTCCTAGGCGTCTGGAGACCGCAAGTCATTCGTAATTGTACAAGTACATTGCGGAGCCCGGTACTCTCGAATGTCTCTTTTGGATCGACTGCCGCATCTGAGTCGCACCATAAGTCTCCACAAAGTCAGCGATCGATGGCAAAAACTGAACAGACCGCTAAAACGGATATGTCGAGACAGAGTTCATTAATCTTGCTCCCGACCGAGATCCTTTTGCGAATCATTGAGTATGTACTATCGGATGAAGGCATGCATGCAAACACCGAGCATTTTGTCGGGCCCTACCAAAGGGAACCTCCCATTGCCGTCCAGCACCTTCCCATGGAGTTCCTCTCGAAGACATTCCGGAGCGTTCTGCGAATGGTCTGTTGCATGCGAGAGGTTCGTGTGCATTATAGGGGTCGGTATCGATGGAATGCCTGCTTAACCACAACGATCATACAATCCGCGTACTACGCCGCAAGTCTCATCCTTCGATTCGATTCCTTCCCAGAAAACATCTCGCTACCGATACTGAGACAAATCAACGCCGTACTAAGGGAGTTGCCACTTCTCACAACTTTCCGGATCGAAGTTGCTCCTCAAGGGTACGGATATCCCTCCAGGTTACCATTACATCTTAAGAAAATGCTATTCGAGGACTTGTTTCAGCCTCTTGAAGATACATGTATTAGTAGAGGTGTTCGTGTATTCCTGCGCATCGAGGATTCTATTAGCGAAAACACCACGTGGAACGGCACTACGATACTTCAATGGGCTGCGCAGAAGCGAAAAGGTCACCTCGTTGGACGAATCATAGCTGACGGCGGCGCAGCTCTCAATCAGGGGCCCAATCGCGGATGTCCTAGCGCTTTTTGGTGGGCTGCCCGCTGGGGAGACATCGCCAATGTACGGACACTCGTGACAGTCGCTTCGGGATCCTTGGATGAAGGAGCCCTGGGATTGAACATGTCTCCCCTAGGTCGGGCTACCTGGGAAGGACACGTGGATGTGGTTCGACTGTTGTACGAGAAAGGGGCCGATATCAACGTAGTAGATTCAAAGGGTCATTCTGCTCTTATGTTGGCTGCCCGTAAGGGGCACGTGAATACTGTCCGTCTGTTAGTCGATATAGGGGCGGACATCAATTTGGTCGACCATGACAACGATAAGACGGCGCTCATAATGGCCGCCCGCAATGGACACGTGAATGTTGTCAGCCTGTTGCATGATAACGGAGCAAACATCAACCAAGTCAACGGCACCAATCACTCTGCACTGATGGTGGCGGCCTTGTTTGGTCACGTAGCCGTCGTCGACATGTTGTGCAGAAGTGGGGCGCTTGTCAACATGGTCGATGTCTGCAATCGGTCCGCCCTCATGTTAGCTGCACGAGGAGGCCATGACGACGTGGTGAACCTTTTGCGTGACAAGGGGGCGACATGATCAATGCCAGCGTCTCACTTAACGACATTTTGGGCGTAGACTACATGCTGACGTAGTGACAAAGAGGTTCTGGAGTGTGGGTCAATGGCGTGTTTGTGCGCAAATTGGCCGATTTTTCAGGGGAACAAATGCATCTAATAGAAAAGACTAAGTGCATTTGACTAGTCCTATAATGTACTATAACGTAGTCGCCTGCAACACACCTTAGCAAGATAGACGTACTCCCCAGCAGGTGCAATTAGGCAGAAGTGGAGGATCTACGAGAATGACCGTGACTAAGGCTTCGACAGCTTATGCGAGGCTGTATTGGCGTCGTTGGATCTCGCCGTTTTAGGCGCGCTGCGCTAGGATGGAGCTATAATGAGGACGACCGCCATCGATCGGCTGTGGCCGACAATGTTAACCCAACTCCGGCCCTGCCTAGAGCGACTTAGTGCTTCTTGTTCCAACACGAGTATATAGTACTGCAACGAACCTCTCCACACTCTCCGCCGTGCATGATGAAAATATTCTCCCCAAGCTCATTCGATTTAAGACTGTCGACTATGAAACAAGAGTGTCCTTCTGTCGAAGAGTATTACAGAAGTATAGAATCCCGTATTGGATACCGGTTTATACTTGGTAATGCTCGCCATTGCGGTTTGTGGAAGGACGGCACCCTATGGCCTTTCCCTATCAGCACAGCGCAGGCGGCTATGCGAGAGAAGCTCTACGCTCGACTACGTCTTTCTTCGGGGTGTAGAGTCCTCGATGCTGGAGCAGGGTCAGGAAGAGTAGCTGCATTCATGGCGGAGAGAGGATTGCATGTGCAGGCAATCGACATCATCCCAGCGCACGTCGAGCAGGCAAAGAAGTTTGTGGAGGCGAGAAACGTGAAGGATAAAGTGTCAGTTCAAGTTGGCGACTACCACAACCTCAAAGGACTGGAAAGCTCGTCGTTTGATGGTATCTATACCATGGAGACACTGGTGCACGCCGACGATCCAGAGAAGGCGTTAAGAGAGTTTAGGCGTCTGCTAAGGCCAAACGGAGTCCTCGTGATCCACGAAGCGGACTTCCACACCGATGCTGTTGTTCTGGCCGACATTCGACGACTCGCGCATTGTCAAAGGACGCCCGCGGAAGGCGGCTACGAAACATTACTCGCCGAAGCCGGATTCCACGATGTCGAAGTGCACGACCTTACGACAATGGTACTACCATTATGGAGGTTCTTTGGCATACTTGGCGCGATTCCATATGCTTTCATGAGGCTGTTAGGAGTGCAACATCACTTCGTGAACACAATGGCAGGGGTCGAAGCGTATCGACATTGGGGAAATGGTCGGTATGTTTCTATCCGAGCTGTGAAGCGTGCCTAGGCTGGGGCATGGAATTCCATCTTAAGTGACCTATCGTATTTGAAGCAGACGTACGAACATTTGGCGGAAGGGCATTGGCGATGCTTAACACCTTTTCTACCTTTAAGTTACCCACGAAGAGTTCTGTTTGAGTGTCGATAGTAATGGCTACTCATGTATTATCGCAACCAGATTTGAAGGCCATTGTAGAAGTCTAATGGTGTAGTAACGTGCCTGCAACTGACCTTGTGGAGACGAAAGCTCGACGTACAAGAATCGATTACATGTGCTTCTATTTCCTTATATTACTGCAGCTAAACCGATATCTATAATGAGCACGTCCTGATACGCCAACGATTGACGAGACCCACTATATAGTCGCGCCTCGTGTGATCCCAGTATTACAAGGGGTGTGTACAGAGCCAGACCAGATACAAATAGAAGCCTGCCGTCCCATCGACATTCGTGGCTGATCTGAATGCCACCACGAATGTACTCCGCTACTTTGAGCAGACCAAATCCAGCACAGACAACCTGAAGGGATCTGCATTTCAAGAGGTTTGACCCTTCTCATTGTCAAGTTTCCTCTGCTTTTCTCGCGCCGCGATAGCCCAGGTCACGTACTCTTGCAATTGCTTCAGTTGCTCGTCCGAGTAGTTCATATCAGCTGATGAGTCGGCGTTCTGTGCAGGGACTCCCTGAGATGCTTCTTCGGCTTGATGTGACTTCTTTGACGGTGCTATCGCATGGTTTGGCTTTGTAGACGCCGCTGCTGGTTTTGTAACGGTGGGAGTAGTCGGCCGAGGTATCGGTGTCTCCAAAGAGGCGATCTGTTCCTCGAAGTACTCATCTTTAGTTATAGCGTTGGGGCTATAGAAGGACCAGCACTGGGAGTAGAAGTCTGCTATAGTGGCTTGTGTATAACGCAATTCCAGGCCCTTTGTTGCGTACCAGAAGACGTTTGAATCGAATTGGGCGCCAACGAAGCATTTCTTCGGATCATAGACACGATCTGCATCCATGCAATTCACAGGCACCCTGGCCACGGCGACGATGGGTAGGTCACCGAAATTCGACGTGAGGCGTTCACTTGATCCGAAGACAAACTTGTTTTGCTCTGTCTTGAAAGTTTTCTCGAATTCGTCCTTCTTTAGAAGTGATGATCTTGCTACCAGATTGTACAACGTTAACGTCGCGTTACCAACTCGCTCTGAATGGATTCCCAATGCTATATGGTGTCTTTCGCCCCCAAGTTCTTTCCAATAGTGTAAAGTAGAGTCAGCTTCTCCGCCTGGAGGCGCGGTTATTGGGGCGTACGGTGAGTTGAATCTCACTGTCCCGTCGTCGCGACCGCTGAAGCCCGGGCTAGCATCGTGGTCGGTTGATGATACTGGCTTGGGATCCGCCGCTGCTGGCTTTTTGGAAGCACTTGAAGACGCTGCTGGCTTTTCGGAAGCACCTGAAGGCGCCGCTGGTTTTGCGGAGGAATTTGACGACGCCGCTTGCTGTTCGGAGGGATTTGACGACGCTGCTGGCTTTTCGGAAGCACCTGAAGGCGCCGCTGGTTTTGCGGAGGAGCTTGGCGACGCCGCTTGCTGTTCGGAGGGACTCGACGACGCCGCTGACTGTTCAGAGGGACTGGAAGACGCTGCTGGCTGTTCAGAGGGATTGGAAGACGCTGCTGTGTTCTGAGCAGCGTCTGCAGTCTGCACCGCCTGCACACCAGGATCGCCAGCGGCAAGATCAGGGTCAGGTTTGATTGATTTGACTGGGTGCCCAGACTCTTCTTCCTCGTTTCCATCGTGTGAAGTGGTGATGCCTTCCATCTCGTCGCCGATGTTGACCGAAGAAACTTGGACTTTCACGCAGTCTCCCCTCGAGCACTTCTCTCCGTCGATCCAGTAATCGTGTGGAAGATCTTCACCTTTCTTAACATGGTTACTTGCTGCTCCGGTGACCTGATCTGGTGCTCCAAGCTTTTTCATCACATGCACATAGTCTACTTCAGTGAGTTTCTGGCCTCGATTAAAATTCGAGGTACTTACTATCCCATGTCGCCACAAGTTCCTGAGCGTCTTTGTTTGTGGAGTTGCCATCTCGATCACGCTTGGCACTCTGGCCTAGAGGGGTATACTTCTGTCGTATCAGAATGGCGTTCTCATAGATGTCATCGATCAAATCGGCCAAGTTGTTCTTCCTCTTCGCTTCCTCCACGAAGTTAATCTTATTAGGGTCTTTATATCGGCTAACGAAGTTCGGAAATGCTGATCTACTGCGCATCGTGATAGTGGCAAATGTAGGTCTGGATGTGTTTGGTTTGTAGAGCGGTGTAGTGTATACGTATCATTAAAAGACCATCCAGCTGCTTTTAAGCCCGTGGGACCTTTTTGAGGGGTCGGAGAAGGCATATGTCTATGTGCAAGCAAGAATTACCCCCTACACTCTCTTCTAACAGCATTGATGCAGTCGCCGTCGGAGTCCGTGAGCAATGGCTCCAGTCAAGGGGTCTGAACAATCCAACAGTCGTTTGGCAGGAGGAAGGCCTGCGAGTTTATGTACAGCGAATGCCCTTTGCAGTCCCTTATCATAATATCCGACAGTTCGTGTCATGTACGGTAACGATATGGCGGAACCAACGGAAAGCGCTTCACACGTCGAACTGCCATCGATGAATCATCTCCTACAATCAATTCGTCAAACTAATTGTGTCGATGGCTATGAAGAGCAAATCGAGTCGTCAGACACGTCAACGGCCAGGAACAGCTCGCTACCACCAATTGCAATAATACTTCGTCAACTTGAGTCAATTGAACTAGCCCAGCAATTGATCAATAGCACTGGATCTGCAAATCAGCTGTCACTTCGTGGACCAGCTTGGCAGGTCAACTCACAGGATTCCCACCCCGTCGCCCAGCACTTTTTCAAGGCAAGTGAGGGAACATTTGGCTGTTCTTTCTGTCCATACTCTTGTAAACGCATTTACAACATGAAACAACACGTTCAGCGACATTACCCTAATCCGAAGCAAGAATGCAAACTTTGCGGCAGCAAGTTCCTTAGAACCCAAGAACTTAAGAGACACGTGAATTCAATACACAATCCGCGTAGATTCGCCTGCGAGCAGTGTGAGAAGCGTTTCAATCGTCGTGATATTCTCAATAGGTAAAAAGGCGCGTCACAGACTTTGTGAGCATACACTAACTCGGGAGCCAATTAGCCATAGGAGGAATGCCCACAAAAGTTCGAATCTATAACGGCTTGTTCCGAAAATGCTGCAGGAGGAGGCTCGTGACGTATTAGTAAGCTTAGCTAGTCTCGGAGAATGAAGCTAATTCACGATGGACATACTGTTTCACGTCACTGTCTCCGCCGGTAAGCCTTCGCTTTTCGAGCATGGACTAAGCAGTGCAGTGCGAAATATGGGCAAGCGAGACATAACGTTATGACCCTGGCAGTTGAACTCAAAGTCAACAATAGCGATAACCCGAATGTTCGCAAGACAGGTTCATTTTGCATGTTGACAGCCTCGCCGCGTCCAGAGGAGCACGCAGTTGCACTTGCAATTATTAAACAGTGTACGACTCCGTCTGCCCATTCTATGGTGGCACACGGAGCTGTTCGAGGCAGACTGTTATGACACGGAGCTGAGCTAAGGTCGAGGACGGAGGTCAAAGAGGGAGACTTGAGAAGCGTTAGTCAAGTGTGTCTCGTTTACTGTACAGTACAGCATATTTGGTTTGAGATGCTTTCAATTGTGATCTTTCCGAGCTGTCTAACCTAGTCTCCTGATACAATGATGACCAGATCTATTCATAACTTGCCCCTTTCTTCAGATTGGGATCTTGGTAGTGATTGCGGTAACAATCATCCCATGCACATCCATATCGCTGTTTCATGGCGGACAGATACATGGCCGCAGCTACAATGTTGGATGTAGGCAGATACCGATTGTCGAGCTGTGGATCTCTGTCCGCCATTTGACCCCACGCCACATAATCAATCTGTGTCAAACCGCTGTGGATGTCAGCGTACACGTGAAAAGCTGCGGGCGGCCGACGCACTTGTAGACCAACGGATGCCCCTTAGACTCCGTCCAGACAATCTCGCTTAGCATGTCTGCAGGCACAGTTGTCTTTGCGACCGCTGTACGAATGGCGTCTCCATACACGATTCCAATGTCCTCTTGCGTCAAATCAGGTGATCCTGTCGAAGGGTAGGCTGCCTTCATGGCTTTTAGTGCAGCTTGAGCCTGGGGGTCTCTTACAATCTGACTAATATTCGCCATGGCTGATGCCGGATCAGCGTGGATATTGGCCTGTGCATATAGTGCCTGAAGCTGGGGCATCAGAACGGTAGATTTCTCCGAATCTGCTAGGGTGGTCACTTCCGTCGTCAGCATACCGCACCACTGATACATCATGGACTTTGTAAAATTTGGAGGGTCAGGAGTTTGAAAGTCGCACGAATCGGATCTATGACGATGGATCCGCCGGTGACCATGGGTTAGGCCCCTACTAAGCAGCATGCAGGCGATGATTATGATCGCGAAGAAGAGCATTGCAAAGCAAGCACTAAGGACCAAGCTGATCCTGGATGGAATGTCGACTACAGCACGACTATATATGATGTTGATGGCTGTAATGGTTGTGAAGTGGCTAAAATGCAAGGCTGATAGGGGGTTGATACGTAAGATAAGCTCATAACGCGATGTGCTTGCTCACGAATTATCTTAAGGCCTACTGCTGCCGCCATAGTATCTACTATTTCTCCTGTTATACCTCATAGAGGTCCTTCATGCTTGAACACTCTACAAAATGCTGATTTTCCGTTGCAAGCGCAATGGCCGAAGTTCTTTTACGACCACAGCACTCCTCTGGCCTCCGCCGTCGTGGGATATGTTTTTTCTCTATTTCACCGATCGAAGAGCCTTCCGAAAAGCGGTAGACGAGGAGATTGAGCGACAATACGAAGAACGTAAGGCCAACAGGGATCGGAGCGCGACTGAGACTTCGGAAAAGGACAAGTACGGCCACTGCAACGATAGATACCAAGCATCTTGCACATGCAGAGAGCCTCCACCAAGCTACATGAGATTTGACGGTGAGCAAGAGTTGTCGGCCTCCACAACAGGTGAAGAGAAACGAAAGTCGACAGTCGAGGCATTGTCGAGTTAGAAGGGGACCATGTTTAGGTGAGCAGCTTCTGTCGGAGAAAAACACTTCGCGTTTGATCGAATTGCAGAGCCACACTCCTTGTTTCTAGATAGACAAGATTGATGCGAGCGTGGACTATGGAACGAGGCATGTCCGACAAAATGCGCATTGCACTGGATCATGAAATTTAGTCTAGCGTACATGAGCTGTTTAAGATAAGTGCCACACAATGCAATGGCTTTTCGTCAGTATGCTGTACCCATTTGCACAGGTAGCTGCGATGTGTATGGCGTCGCAGCCACTAGTAGGATGTCCAACGCAAGTAATGTTTCCAATCTGGTCTTCCTGCGTCAGCGCAATAGTGCACGTGGAAGATGATAGCTGTTGTGTGCGAAATGCTAGCGTCTCTTCCACATTTGGTAAAGCCCATTCGACATTCTCATTGTATTCTTTGAAGCTGGCACCCAAGAGCACTATCATAGGAAAGTCCTCCAGAGCTGGGAGTGAGTACTGCCTCTCTACTAATGACGTAGCTTTGCATAGTTCGATGTCGTCCGTGTTTGGGCTCGAAGACAGAGCCACCCAAGCGTAATTATTTTTCTGCCGATCCCAAACAGCTGCTACATCGTATGCTGCGGTAGGCGATGCTGTCATCGTGACAGTCGGTGTCGTTGCTTTTGGCAAAGATTGTAAAGTCGTAAAAATCGTCGTCGTTGTATCGAAGACTTCCATAGAGCTTGTTGTCTTGGTCGATTGTGATATAGATGGTTCATAACTCAATATGCTGCTGTTGGAAAGTACGGGAAAGCCCAAACTCGGACAAGAAGAGCTGGACCAATAGTACGAGCCGTTAGTCGGTCGAGGAGAGGAAGTGATTCCGGTCTGGCCACTTATTTGTGATGCAAAAGAAGCCCCTGTGAGCCAGAACAGGATGAGCGCCATGTTCGTGGACGAGAAAGAGGCTCGCGTGGGTGGGAATAAGCTGGTGCCCATCTACTTATAGTCGTGCACAGATGTGTTCCTCTAGGAAGTGGCTATCATCGAGCATTGAGAACTTTTGAAATTCTAAATGCCAAAGCCACTTGAAAAACTCTCCTCTTCCTTTTACACCCGCATGACCCGATCTTGTGTGCCACTGTCGCGGTGCTACACGGCTGCGGGCTCTTTCTATGCTTGCTAACTACTGCTTGTGTGCAGGACAACCCCTACACTAAGGGAAGTCTCGTCAAATATCTCGTGCTGTAGACTAACTTACAGTAGTCTACGTTGTCAATGCATGCTATTCTTTTAAGCGTCGCAACGCTACTTAGATTACTCTATCAGAACTAAGTTAGTCGAGTTACACTGCCAGTACAAAGGTAGTCTAATCCGGCTAGTGAGCGCTCAATTGCTTCTTGGATTTGACACTAGAGTTTCATTCTTGACATGACAATCTATGGAAGCGTACTAACGTCTTTCCCGGCGTCCCTAGACGCACCCTGTGGCGAGAGACTTTCTGCGCCGTGTGCCTAAACTCCCGAGTAACACCTAGAACATAGCTTGATTTTGCGGTAGCGTCAAAGACAAGACGCCTCCGAAGCTAGGAGGTGTGTCTTTGTGCTTTTAGCTGAAGAGTGCAACAGATGGTTCGGACTGTCGTTGACGCTGTTACAGTAGTTGCGTTTGATTCTTCGATCTCGTCTCTGCCCCGCATTTCTCACAATCGTTCCATTATTTTGTTCCTAGGGGCAGGCTGTAGATGTTCTCAAGCTGTGCCGGGACTGTCGAGCGGAAAAGGCCTCGTTGTAGTGTTGCGCAGGAGACTCTAGAAGATCCCATGAGCACGTGGCTTTGGCTCGCTGCCCTCACACAGATTTCTCCCCCGTGTCTTCACTCCTGCTCTAACCACCCGCCCTGCAGGCTAGGAATGGATGGAGCAAGTAACTTATCGCCCTTGCAGAAGGCGCTCCCGCCGGTGTGCCGAGATCTTATCGTGCTCTTGCAGATCACCGCGGTGTTCCTCACTCTACCCTTGATGTCATTACAGAACATAATAGTAAAGGATGCTTGCAACCTCGATGATCGAGAAAGCAATTCGAAAGACATCTGAACAAAATCACCAAGGCTGCAGGCACGTTTCATGCAAAGAGCCCACTGCAGCAGGACCAAATTTCATCACTGCTGAAGGCTAATAATGAGTCCAAAGTCCGGCGAGCTACCAACTCAGCCGTTCTGGCAAAGGGGAAGGGGAAGGTGATGAGCTATGAGGCTCTAATAGCAGCACGAGCGACGCGACATGAGAAGGAGGTCACAAAAGAAGTCGCGAGGGAGCGAAAGACGAAAAGGATTAAGCGCAACATCGTGAACAATGTGGAAGTTGAGGACACACCGTTTCATGCAATGACAGAAGCTGAGCCGGAATTTTTCGGCGCGGAGGCGCAGACTGACGAGAACATGTTGGGAGAAGTACCTTTCCAAGGCTTCAGTAGCTCGAATGTGTTGATGTAAAGTATTGGAAAGTGTTGGACACGGGAAATGGCGTTACGGTTGTTCTTGATCGACTTGTGGCAAGCAGTGCTTCTCAAACCATCCACGAAACTCAGTATGCGCCCAGTGGCAGACAAATTGCTTAATAGCGACAATTTGGTAGACTCCCTTTCGATACAGAGCGTTCCCGATCTCGTCGAAAGTCCACACGACCTGCGTCAAGTTAGAACTGATATTGATAGCCAAAGGATAAGTCACTTTACCGTCCTCGAGTCAGCACCTTGAGACGCAATATAGAAGTCCCATGTTTCGCCTTCCGCCATGAAAAGAGGCAGACACGGCAGAGGCTGCTGTGCTTGCCCATTTGCCTCCAACAGTAACCGCAAACGCTTGAAGATAGCAAAGGCCCAAATACCGAGCTGATACTCAGCCTTCTGAGGATCACCTCCGCTCTTTTTCGTTTCAATTACTGATGCAAACGGGCAATGGATCACATCTGCTTGTAACGTCGGTGCCCAGCTTGGGTCGTCAGTCCCTGGAAGTGGCTCGAGGAAGGGCAGCGCGGCCTGTAAACGGGATGTTGGCTCTAGGACGATTGCATAGTCAACTCGAGCGGCTTCAGGAGGACGCATCGCGATCGGTGCCGGTAATAAGGACGCACGCGGGGCAATATCCGCCGTCTTGACGTTCTGCCAGCGTACATGTGCTGCGTCTACTGAATATCTGCAAGCAAGCTGACCAATAGGCACATGGCTTACGTCGTTCCACACATCCTCAGATGCTGTCTTCCGATTCTTACAGCGTGTGGTGTCTAGGCGTATTTCTTCGACGCGTGTCAGTGGCGGGGCCTCTCCAAGCTCTTGTCTCTTCCCCGAATCATCGAAGCAACTATCATCCCCAAATTCCCTGCGCCGATCATCACTTTGAACTTCCTCTTGCATTCCGCGGGGCAGAATCCGTCGACCATTTGCATAGTCTTTGACGCGATCCCACATGTCCTGGACATGAGCTGGCGGTCGAGGCTCCCCACTATAAGGGTCCTGGTTCACATACACGATCGGGTCAGGAAGGGCTGCAAGCGTCGTGAGCTTCCGAGGGCTCGAAGATCGACTCCGTGCTGAAGTGGTAGTACTGTGCCTCGAAGACGTGGAGACAAGTTCGGGCGCGTTTTGCAATGGTCCTGTCGAAGATTCCTCACGAGGTGATACCCGACCATTTCTTCGCCGCGAGGACCTCCGCGGCAAGCACACCGTGTTCGGCGTCGTATCGTTGAGTGGTACTCTTTCACCCGTTCGACCTCTTCCTCGACCCTTTGACGCGGGCATAGCGTGAACTGTGCTCTTGCTGCCTCTCGTGTCGCTATGACCCCCAGCAAGGCGCTTTCGCGGTGAGGCTGCTAAAAACTCGGCCTTGCGTTTTTGGCATCGACCTCTCTCACAAGGCTCTTGATTTTCGATTCCGTCGAGCCACGTGGTGACAGCAAAATGACCAGATTGAGACATGAGATGTGTTCACCAGGAGCTGTCGCGCTGTTGCTGATGTCTACAGAAGGGCGCTTCAGCTTCGCGTCCGACCGGCGGGCGCGAGCCGATTGTTTACTATGATGTGTCAGCGTGGCCCGACCCGCCAACCCGATCGAGTGTGGCCCATGGCGTGGTTCGCTCAAGTCACGTGATTTTCGTGTCTCGCCATGTACACAGATAAGGTTCGACTCTCTTCTCGCATATTGCAGTAACAAGTCGCGATGATCATTGATCGTGGTCACGATGTCTTGTGCTAATTTCTTCGGCCTCTTATGCCCTCGAAAGATCTTGGCAACGAATCCAAACCTTGCCTGTGCTAAAATCTTTGCGACCTTTTATATGCCTCGTCTGGCCACCATCCGTTACCAAGTCAGCCGTCCACTCCGCATATTCCATTCTTCCATTACATCCCAACTCCTGTGGCATATCTCCACAATTGGTAATCTCACCAGAAATGTCCACCGCTCGCGACCAAGAGAAGGGTACTGCGTTTCTATGTTAGCGGAGAAAATACCGCACTACAAGGCAATTTTATCTCACCAAGCGTCTGAACAGCCGCCCAAGGGTCGTTTCCACGGAGATCATCAAGGCATACCCATATCTCGTCACGATCTACCCGATGCTCCCTTGATGTGCTTTTGCGGCCCACTATCAGTTTCTTTCGGCTGTCCAAGAACAACATGCATCCAGTGTATTGGGTTATTGAGCATCCCAACAACTTGTTCCACTTGCATATCTGTCCAGAAAGTAATTGAATAGAGTTGTTACTACTACGTCTCTCTAAAGTAGAAGAGGCAGATACGCTGGAGGATACAGGCATTGTTTCGGCTCGAAGATGTTAAAATGTAGTTCTGTATAGATTCTCGACGTGATGGTCTGTCTCACCACTGCGGTAAGATTAGGAATTTTAAGAGCTTTCTTAACGTTTGTGGCTTAATGCTACAGTAGCATTACTCTGTATGCGAAGCATGCAACCCCCTAAGCAATATAGCCCTCACTTGACATGGGCCCCAGCTAGCAGGACCCATACTATAGAGGGGTGTGGTATCGGGTAGCCTCCAAAGCCTTACGCAGTTATACATTCTGCCCAAAATACACCTGGCGAAGAGTCTGTTTCTCAATCAATCACGTATTTCGCGATAGGTATGATATAAAAGTCGGCTCCCCGTGTAAATATCGGTATTTCTGCAGCCAATTTCTAGACCAATCTCTCTTACAGTACGAGCTCTGTCCAACGTGGACTACGATGCAGCTGCCTAAGACGTCCGGAGGATATCTTTCGATAGATGGAAAAGGCTGTGAGGGGATTCAATTGAAGTTTTCTAGGAGTCAGCGAATGATTCGAGGCTACCGAATACGGGGGAAAGGACGCCAGGTGTTGCTGAGGTTCGGGTTTTTGAAGAGTCTAGACGAAGCTGTGAGTATCGAAGTCTGCGAACTCGTAGCAGCTTCCGAGCCCTGGTTGCGAGAAGTATCCGGAGTCGATCATATATCCTCGCAGCTTGCCGAAGTGAAAGCTATCGGGACCGAAACCGCGCAGCGTCTTTGCACACATCGCAGATTCAAGTGTACGGCTATAGCCTGCCAAAGCCCGAAACCTGGCAAACAATACTCCAATCTACCAGAGACACTAGTAATCGGGGTGTTTGACGGTGATGGCCGGGAAAATGTATTCACTAGGTCCGCATTGCTGAAGGCGTACAACAAGCATATTGTCGATGAGCTTTTGTTGCCTGTCATGCTCATGGCTCGCCCTATGTGGATCAAGAGTCACGGACACGGAGAATCCAAGAGCCACGTAGGGGCTAATCTGCCAGCCAAGTCCAAGCAAACCTCCGAAGTATCTGCCCGAAGTGTCATCTTGTACTCGACGCCAATATCTGATTCTATACCCACACCATCGACGACTGTCTCGTCGTCAAGGCACACGGTTACTTCGGAAAGGTCCATTACTCCCCAACACGGCACTTTGGCTAGCACACCGACGTCAAGTCCGAAATCTGCGCCATCAACGACTGCCTCTTTAGACCCGCTTACGTCGTTGCCCCGAGAGATTTTCCACATTATCTTGTCTTTCGCGATTGACGTTAACGATGTTATTAGAAGCATCCAGGAGTATGAGGACGGCTTGGATGATTGGCATCCAGACTTGCTACCGAGCATTTTGATGGTGAGCAAGTCGCTTCACAACAGCACCCTCGACTATTTTCATCATCAGCTACTTGTGGTCTCGACGCGAGATTGTCTCAAGCTCCCTGAGAAAATGCTTCAAAAGGCCTTTCGACTTCGGCTTGATTTGTCCTATATGGATAGTAATATGCGTTTTGTAATAACCCTAATTCGGAAGGCGTGGAAGAAGAAGCACCGGTTACGCTATCTGGAGGTGTTCTTACCGGATAAGCCACCAGGACGGGACTGGGACTCTTTTCCGGACCTGCTACATCCGGCACTGAAAACGTATTACGTCAAATCCCTTGTCCGGGACTTATCCGAATCACTAGAGGGAGGGGATGTCGAGATAAGGATCGATATTAACCCCGGCAACAACGCTGTTGGTGAGAAGGATGACATGAAAGAGAATGCCCTGCACTGGGCAATATGGAGAAAAGACGATGACATCGCAGAGCGTATTTTGTCGATGTCCGGCTCAGCCCTAGATGAAGGCAACATTGCGGGCAGAACACCTCTCCATCTGGCCTCGGGCAGAGGAACGCTAAAGTCACTACAGCTGCTGCTTGCTCACGGTTTTGATGTTGATCGAAGATCTTATGGTGAAACACCTCTCAGCGAGGCTGTCCGAAGGAGAGATGCGGCGAAAGTGGCGCTGTTGTTGACCGAGGGCCGGGCTACACCAGACTTACACTTGGACGAAGACACGCCTACGGCATTATGGGTGGCTGCAAGCATTAATGATATGACTATAGTGAACTCGCTACTAGCGTATCCGGCGGTGAACGTTGACGTTCAGAATATTGAACAAAAGACGCCATTACACGTAGTGATCGAAAGACACGGCGATAAAGGCTTGGAAGTCGTGAGAGCGCTGCGAACGCGAGCGGTTGCGAGCCTGGGCATGAAGGACAACAGTGGTCTTACTCCATTATCGCTTGCGGAGGCACAAGGCTACTCGCAGGTTGTGCAAGAGTTTCGTAAACCATGAAAACAACAACTCGTTGCAAGATCAATAGAAGCTCTTGCTGTACTCAGTTAGAGCTTTACTCTCCAATACGATACCTCGAATTGAACTAGAACTGCCGTAGATACGAATTCCGTTGCGTAGTAGCTCTTCCTTGTTCCTACTGAGCTACTTAAAAGTTCCCCTAGCCCCTACCTTAGTCCAGCCTTTATATACGCTTAAAGGCTACGACTTTCTTGGCCACAGCCCGCACTATTAGGCACTCAATCTATATGTTACACCGTTGATGTACAAAGAAAAGAGGATACAGCCGTCCACCGTAGCCAGTGGAGATAATATAGAGGTACCACTGCTAGCCAAAACTCGCCGGCGGGCTAAGCTTAAGAAACCATGGCTTAAGAGTCGCAAACGACAGTGGAAGAAATGAGGGTTCTTCTACTTGAAGATTCACAGCACAAGTCCAACTTATAGGTTACTTCGCTAGACGCGTCCTGGAACACTAGGCAACACTTGATAAAGGATACAGGTTCAAAAGCTCTTCCATCGACGAGAGATGCACTATGTCATGAAATTGCCTTATCAATGACATGAGGGTCCGGAGTTCAAATGAGATATTATCTATAGTGCAGACGTCTGCTGTGATAACCTAGAGCAAGACTGACCGCCGCCTGGCTATGAAATGTTCAAAAATGGAAAATCAGGAATGACGCAGTGCAATGCCTCTAGTTGACCACGACCGTGCTTTGGATATATATCCATTGCTTCAGTGTCCGACCGCAACGACATGATTTAATACAAGATAAATACTTATGCCCCTTTGCAGCACTGCCATTGCAACGTAACGTCTACATATCTTGCCTGGATGCTGAGCCGTTACGTACGTTCGTATAGGGGCTGAGTGGGAACTCAAGACGATTCCTGGACTTGTCTAGTCTCCGTTTCTGGTCGCTCTTGAAAAAGTGCAAAGCCGTGTCGACCAAGCTCTCATTCCCGGCTTTGTCCCCGCTGATCTCCCACCACATCACTCCGCCAAGCCCTAGCTTTTGCACATAGTCCAGCTTCAAAGACATTGTGTGTGGTGTGTCGTACGAAATCAGCGTTTGCGCGGCATCATCGAAACTCCACGAACTTATGATGTCATCATCCTGTTTCGTTGTAGCGCCTGGCCTCGGAAGTGCCTGGCACGGGCAGTCAGTTTTACTGGTAGTAAGAGCCAAGGACAATCGTACCTTGTAGTCCCAGACGCCATTCTCCCAAGACCCATTTCCATCCTGCACGCCAATCCCCTGATAGGGCTGCCCAGGCCCTTGCGTGTGGAGGAACGCTCGGCCATATAGCGGAATGCCGAGCAGAAGCCTACTGGCATCTACTCCGTTCTTTAGGTAATATTGTACCGCATCATCAGTGCTGAATGGCGTGCTGGCTGGGTCAGTGGCTGATTTGTAGACGTTGGCCTGATGTGCAGCTACCGTGCCCCAACTTCCAGCGTAATCAAACGCCATCAAATTCCAAAAGTCAATATGTTCAACCATCTCACTGATCTTCCACATGCGGTAGTGGTCTGGACCGGCTGGACAAGCAACGCTAAGCACGAAGTCGGTCTCCTCGGACTTCACCGAACCGGACGATCGTGATTCCCTTCGGATTTCCTTGAGTAGCTGTGCAAAGCGCTCCGCCTCCGCCTGAGAGGTGGGGTATTCCCAGTCAATATCGAGACCGTCAAGGCCCAGAGACATGACCAGCTGTACAGCAGACCTTGCAAATGTCGACAGACCAGCATCCGATGACACCCAGTTGGCGAATTTGTATCCGTATGACCAGCCTCCGACACTGAGTAAAGTTTTCAAATTACGATTCTTCTCCTTCAAAATAAAAAGTTGTTCCATTGTTCCACCCAAGTGCGCTTCCTTCCCTACCGACGAATTCACACTGCCCGGAGTTCCAATGTCTGCATAGGGATCACTTAGCGAAACTTCCCCATCCGACCCAATTGTTGCGAACGCGTAGATTACATGAGTCAGTGCCTCAGCTGGAAGGTCTTGTGCGGTAAAATTCCGTGCGTAAATGTCCCAGTTACCCATGTAAGCGACAGATCTGTACCCGTCGTTGCTAGTCATCGCAGAAGTTGCTGATGTATTGTTTGATGTAGCATACACATTGGTCTTGGGGGAAGGCTTTGTTTGGGCACAGGAGGATTCATTGGGCCTCGCGGAGCACGACAGACCACTGGCTTCGTAAGTGGCAATTGCGTCATTCGGCATCGTTGTCGAACTGTCAAGCTTGCCTCGCTGGAGCTCGTCTGCGTCAACGGGAACGGCGGCGTTGAAAGACGATATCGTGCTGACCGACACGGCTGTAGACAGGAGAGCCTGTGTAGGCACCATTGTCCCGTTTCGACAGCTCCACTGCCCGCGTTCCATGATCTGCCAGACGCCCGAGCCGCATACCTGTAGTTGAGTGGGATCGCCATTATCGAGACACTGGCCCTCGAGACTAGAAGAGCAGGACGTAGCACAAAAAGCAACAAGACTTAGCGACAGAAACGTCGTCAAGTGTGCACATGTAAACATTATTAAGCGTGACACACTGCAGAGGATGGCTGAGTGTTCTGCATCGAAGGACGCTTTATGTAGTAGTCCCTCTCCATGCGACCAATCTTCACCCCCACAGGTGCATTCCCACGGCCTGACGCGCGTCCAGTACTTAGTTTCAGGCCGAAGTCTGCGCTGGACCTACTATGTTGAAAATCCAACATAGGAACCCGTGAAATACTGCGTGCTGGTGTGTGCTTGCGGTATTCATGTTGGAGCAACTCCCGGCCGAGATCAGATCTCAGATATTCGAACTGGTATTCTTCGATGACTCCGGCACACGCCGTATTCTATGGACAGGTCACGGACCATGCATGTGCCCAGTACTGCCTAAAAGAAGATCATCTCCGAACCGTTTGAGGTTCGCCCCGCGTTTGGCAGACACAGTCCGCCACTTGCGGTCGAGACCTTGGCGTCGGTACACCACGCCGTTACAGGATGAACACGTGACACAGGTGCAGCCGTTAAGTGCTGGCTCCTTGTTCATCTCCAGAACACTGCACGGCGACGCTTTGGCTTCGATGTTTCGCGTGAGGACTTTGTGGCTCACATCAATGGAAACGTTGCGACTCCTCGCTCGTCCAGGAGTTGCGGACCTCATTCAAGACCTCGTCATTTACGAGCGACGGGCAGACGAGAGCATCTTTCACTCATCGCAAAGTAGCTGCCTTCCGCGCCGCACGCTTATCACACAGATCTTGCAAGGTGCAAGGTTGCAAAAGTTGAGCATTGATCTTGACCCTCTGCTGTGTCGGCCACAACGCGGCAAATTCGGGTCCGACAACATTAGTGTGTGCCTTGCCAGTCTCGGCCTGTCCGAAACCATTGCACATTGCCACGAGATCGGTCGGTACTCGTTCGCACCTGGGCAAATGCTTGACAAACTGTCACTTGTCCACAACGATTTAGCGACTTTATGGGCCACCGTGAGGGCGCGAGACGAGTCAAAAATGTCCTCCGAGGTAACCTGGCCGGCATGGCAAGACATTCACTTCTCCGCTGAGAGATTTTGGTCATTACGCGATGCTCCGCTCTGTGTACGTGTGCAACGGGGTTTGAGATTAATGTTAGGGGCTATATGGAACGACTTGTTAGAGCTCAGGATGTCGAGATCTTCTGATCGTGTCAAGTCGTGGCTATGGTGGCTCGGGGAAGAGACTATGGACAACATTGACCATCGAACCATAATGCCCGGCCAAGATGTGCGCCTGAACCAAGCGTGGACAGAGCTTCTAGTTGGGAGGACTATCGAGACCAAACTGTGGATCACCGCGTGTGGATGATCGGATTTGAATCCTTTGGCAGCGAATATCCTTGTAGCGATATGCGTTGAATAATCTTTGGTTCCGGACACTCAGAGTACTAGGCACAAGATGAACTGCACCTCGAGAGCAAGTGTAGCGCTAGGTAAATTAGCTATCGTGACATTAAGTTACATATCGTGAGGAATTTCTTTCTCGCGTGCACCGTATCATTGCGGAACATAATGTCCTTCCTCGTATCGCGGGACGCACTATGTCCCGGGACGCATGAGCCGAGGTCTTTCCTTAAACACCCCATTTTGATTGATTTTTTTCTCCCCAGTGGGCTGGTATTCATTCCTAAAATGCCCAGAGTCTGTGAGATAATATGCGTCGTAAGCGGGTCCATGATCCGATTCGTCAGGATTGCCTGGATGTTGGGTCGCGGTTCACTCTCCACTCTGATACGTCACCAGCTTCTCGATTGACATGGACATCGATCGACATCGATCGACATCTAGAGAAGCTGTATGTAAAGTTTGGAGAGATTATGAGACGAGTAGATGGTGCTGTTGTCGAAAAGGATGCAAAGTGGTAGCTCAGAGACTGGCGTTCGAATTGGCGTTGTGGCGCGCTTTCTCTGGAGCTTCTAGAAGGTTGGAAGGACGTGTCGCATTGTCTCTCTGTGAGCACAACGATAGCGTCGCCTCATCACATATGGAGAGTGAGAATTCAAATGCTTTGTTTGCTGCGAGATGGTACTGTAGTCTAGACATGCGGGCATCTCCTGAACTTCAGCATGCGAATTGGCAGATAAAACATCTTCTTGGCTCCGATCCATAGAGCCCTCAATACGGTACGAAATCAATTTGTTTGACGAAGTCGGATGCTCGTCCGTCAACAACTCCGATCGTAAAGAGTGTACTCTCCTGCATCTGCCCTTCGTTCTCACCCTCTTCCTTTCTTCGCCAGCTAACAGAGCAAGTCGGGCACTGGCAGAAACAAACTCCGCCAAACCGCCTGTCTTAATCCGCACCGCTCTTAAGCATCATGCACATGGTGGACGGTCCATTCAAGTTCGGTTATTAAAGCAGCGGATTCATCTTGGAGGTATTCCGTAGCTCGGCTTGATTTGAACCATAGCGCCATTGCACAACTCCTTGCGTACAAAGCCAGGCGGTCGGTCTAATACTCCATCCAAACATTTACATATCTCTAACTTAGTCCGCATAGGCAAATATCCCTGGTAGTCTTCGACGGAAAAGTAGAGCTTGCAAGGTGAGGTTGAGAATCTCCGCTTTCGCCCTAGTGCATAAAGTGCACAGGCCTTTGGACGGAGCCGATTCAGCCGAATCAACCGACCCACCCTTCCACTTTGTGGAGGTCCTTTCCGAAGTAGACGCTGCCTGATGAAAGAGCTAGGTAACTGCAGACGCTCCTAAACCCCTTTGTCGAACACATGTTCTATGACGATTGGTGATGTGAGTGGCCTTAGAGCGGAACGGTCACGTGGTTTCTGAACAGTCGGCCTGCAGTCGACCGGAGAGAGGCAGTATCTGCATCGCGGTCTCAAAGAATCGTCTATCAAGCCTCTTGCAGCGAGAGATCCGTAGCCAACCCCCTATCAACGATCATCGCGACCCTTGTTCGCGACCCTTGTTACGCAGCCCATGTACGCGAAGCTACCACCATCGTCTAGACAATAGCCAAGTTCAAGCAGTAGGGCAGGTAATGTCGTAGAGGACGCCAGTAAGCTCTTATGTGCAAAGACTGGACGCAGGCGGCAGGCAGCGCTTTCGTATCAAACACACTGCGTAGAGTGAAATTAGTGGCTTGAGGCTGTTTTGCATGAATTGTTACTTGGATCATCACATCAGCTTATGAAACGCTGGGTACAGTCCACTTGCGCCCAGTTCTTGGTCAGGGTCCGTGCTTGGCCAAGCCAGGTGTCAGGTGCAGAACTGCCCCCTAGTCTAGAACTTATGAGACGGCAACTTTCTCACGGTTCCGAGGGCAAGTCTCGTCAATCTAGGGAGGCTTCGACTACTCTTGGAGTGGTACAGGAAAGTAATATTAATACCTGCCACGGTCACTTTTCAGCCTGCAACTTTGCAAACTCGACGATTGAATCCGCTTTGCAGGTTTACATAATGCGATTCGGGAAGCTTCCTCCAATCTGTATTGCGATTCAAGCACTGGCGTTTGCGAAGGTGTCTTCTGCAGACCAGTAAGTGGTGGTCGCCCACCTTCGTCGGGTACACTCCGTAAATACAGAACGCTGACTGCTGTACTGTCAGATGTGGCTCGCATGTGGTCCAACACACGGGATTCACCTTCAACATTACAATCACGGACTGGCGAGGATCGCCAATTGGAGGCGTCAGTGGATCCCATGTGAACGCCGGCGATACTATTAGCGTGGCAAGCGAACTACCCTACATGTTCGAGATGACTCCTGGATCGTCTGATGGCGCCGCCGTATCTTTCAAATATGCTGCTTGGGGCACAACATCTGACGATTGTGTCACCGATCACTATAAGAATGATTTGCGCCACATTTTGTGCGGATTTCCCTGCTAAAGGAGACTCTCGAGATCAGAAATTCGACTCCAGTCGACGTCGGAGGCATGACCTAGACTGTACATCTTCGTGACGCCTTCTGAACCAGCATAACTCATAGTATCAATACTGTAAAAGACCTTGCAAAATGCTTCTCCTCTCTACGCCGTATCGAGCATTATATGATGCAAGAGGAGGATAAAAGTGGGTGTTCAGGCGTCGAGGTCATGGTGCGCACAAACATGATTCAAGAATCGGTCTTGATCGTGTCGCGCCGCTCTTCCCTTCTTCCCATCACCTAGAGTCCTTCGGTCCGACTCAAGAACCAATCTTGCAGCTGATATTCATTCCGCCGTCGCCTTTCAAGCTCGATATTCTTGCCGACGAAAGGATGTACTCATAGACTGTTCCACAGCGAGCCGAATGTCATACGCCCAGAGCACTCTGGCAATCGCTATGCTGATTTTGATGTATACCAACGGTTTACTAATGGAAGCAGTACTGCGAATTGAGAATGGGTGAAAGAGCATTTTCAGATCATTGTGGTCTTGCGAGTGCGCCTTAAGACATCCAGTACTCCGGATCGAAGGTGCGTGGGCTCACGACAAAATCAATGACCCCATCCCAGAATGCTTTCCTAACAACCTCCTTCTTCAGTTCGTATTCTTCGTTCTTTCTCCCCATCCTCACTGTTGGCCAAAGGTCAAAACTGCGTCGTAGTAGATTTACAGTCCAATGATGATCCTACGTCCAGACCGTTTCTCGCGAAAATTGAGGGGAACTCATTGCTTTCCATATTACTGGCCTCCACCGCCACAGTTCAAAGTGATAAACCGTGGTTATCTTGTCGCGGTGACTCCATGTCTCATCTGGACCAAACTACATACCTTCAGCTGTTCAGCCCAGACCCTCGTCCGCTCCACCCCTCATAATCAACTTTTGTCCCGAGTATCGTATGCGAGTAGTGGTTTATTGTGTAGATGGGAACGCCAACTTTGATGCCGGCGAGGAAATCGAAGCCAAGGGCAGGAATAGCCAGACCGCCCTCGAGGACTCGTCGAGACAGAATACCGCCAACTGCAGGCGTCATCCTCGTGGTGTAATCTATACAACCCCGAAGGGATTTGCACGACTGCATCGGCGCTCTAATTTGAACTTGGATCGTACTTCGTGTTTGACCCTCGTCATGGCATGACGATTATGCGTAGAAGCTGTGTCTGACCTAGCCACAATTAACGTGTTACCTCCCATCCAGAGCTCTTTTTTCGGCATGATATCGCTTGTAGTTATCGGAATCCTTTGCATGGAGAAAGAATGTGAAGGTATGTCGGCGTGTCGGTTTCATCGAGTCTGATTCCTTGTCTGCCACTGCGATACACTCGTTGGCCTGCTTCTGGCCGAAGGCGAGGTATTTGCACCGGTCAAGAAAAGGCCAGGCAGGATCTTTTCGAACTTCTCGCCCATCGTGCCGAACGAGTGGCGGCCGAAGACGAGATCGCCCATGTCAAAACTAGCCAGTTGCACCATCGTGCCATGGTGACTGAGCAGCCCCAGCTGATCTGACGGACATTAAGAAGGTCGTGGAGATTCGCCGCAAACCTGAATCGATCGACAAAGATGCCGACGTGGGCAAAATGCTGTCCCAAGAACAGGTTCCGAAAAAGCCTGGCCCAGGGACCTTGCTCAAATTGCAAGGCGAGCATCTGCAGCTACCAGATCCACCTTCTCAACCCGCTACTGCCCCAGTTAGCGCATGAGCTAATCTTGCTGTTGCCACAGGGTCTGCATTTCGTTCTCTAGGCGTGCGAGGTGGGCTCGATGTTCCTCGATCTGGACCTTGAGTTCCGCCCCACGATCCTGCGCTTCTGAGGTTGGTGCGCGTCAGGTTGGACCCGCGGGCGTAAATCGCTTTCAGAGCCGCTGGATCGTTGATCGAAAGTGAATTGGGCGAAAATCGAACGATAGTTCCATGTTCCTGATGTAGCTGATAGTAGTTGATATATTTGTCGCCCACGTATGCATGACAGACGTCGTACCACTGCGTCAATCGACCGAAGAGAGGGCCTGGGTATCGCGATAAAGGGTGACAATGCTAGATAATATAGGTTCTAGCAAACAGAACTGCGTTGACGTTGCAATCATCAAAACTTTTTGTCCAGGGCTCGCATCGGGGTCTTGAAGCTCGGGCATGATCATGGGAATATAACGTAATTGCGAGGGAGACGGCGAAGGACTGCCCATCGCGGTAAACGGAGAAAGGAAGTGGTTCAGCTAATAATCTAACAAGCTCGAAGAAAGATACCCTAACTCAGACCTGCAACCTGTGCCGAGCTGCGCGCGGACAACAGTCACTCCTGCACCAGGATGAACATAGTCCATACGTCGTTAGCTCCATCGCCAAGGTGGTTTGGACGAAGCGGAAACTGTAATTAGCCACAGATCGTTGGAAGACGGAAAAAGTTCTCCTGTAGAGAATTGTGGCGCAACTAAAGAGAAAGTACAGGCAGTTCAAATAGTCTATTGTATAGTCCGATTTGTAAACTTTAGCAATAGCAGCTTACCACAATGCATCATGGATGGGGCATGTGAGTAGCCATGGTTCCGGCCTTGGCATGATCAGTATGCCAGCAGCTCCACCATTCATAGACATACATGGATCACGTTTGCGAGGTTGAGTCCGCTTGCAGTGTGACCTCCGATGCTGTACTAGATTGTCTTTACGAGAAAACCATTTGCTGCAGTCCGAGCAGTGGTAGGGTTTTTTACGAGTGTGCTTCGACTGTCTGTGACGCTGCAAGTGACTGGGTCGACAGAACCTGCTCTCACATTGATTGCAAGCGAACTTCTTGTCTCCCTTTGCCTGATCTGCCTTGCTCTTACGGTCTGACGTTTTAGCAGGGTTCTCGAGGGCGTAGAGCTCAGGTAGTGGTGGGAAGTCAGCGCACGCCAGCTGCTCTTCGCCCAAGTTCGTGTCGTTGAACAAGAAGAGCTCTGTTCCGAAATCCGGCATGAAATCTGATGGTTTGCTGCTCATACGTCGCCAAAGATCTCCGCCGTCCGGTGGCGTAGGCGTCGTCGCTGTGCCAGCGATGAGCCAATCTGAGTCAATGACATCTCGGTAGTGGTTCACACCCATATCCTGAACATCCCAATGCTCAGCAGAAGAGCAGCCAGCCGACTTCGTCTCATCTTGGCACGTCTTGTGCCCTAAATCGTTCGTGTCAAGAGGACAGGAAGTCGATTGAGCAGATATCGGAAAACAACCATCTTGCGACCCACTAAGTGCACCTGGGAGATTGGGGGCACGCAGTTTGCGTGATGGAAACCATCGCATTGGAGACGGAGTCGGTGTGGAATCACAAAGCATCGGGTCAGTCGACATCAAGCCCATTGACGTCGGCAGCGTGGGCGCCACCGGTAGTTCTTGATTCACACAGTAGCTTCCAGAGTTCAGTATTAGTCCGGGTAGACCTCGTGGCTGGGATAGAGACGGAGAGCCAGTCGTGAGCGCCAGGTCTTCAACATGTGTGGCCTCCTGGGGACCTTGAACGGATAAGCTGGGGACAAGGTGACGAGGCTGCCATTCGTGAACATGAACATACGGCATTCCAATGATACGGTCGACGCCATGGCGAAGGTAATGTTGACTGTGACTGGCGCATAGACAACTGTCTACTGCGCACATACGCTCTCGGCTCGAGGAAAAAGAGTGATCGTGGTTTGATGGAACGGCCGCCAGAGGAAAAACCGTGTACGATCTGGGACAAACAGAATAAAGATCGGGCATTCTGTCACCGGGATCTAGGCCTGAGCATCGACCGCAAGCCCAAGTTGGCTGCTCGCAGAACCGAGCCGAGTTTGGAGGTCTTCCTGTACTAACCCGGAGTAGGCGATATATTAGTGCAACGTACGTAGATTGGCCGGCACAGACCGAATCTGGGTCAAGGCTGGGACAAGCTATCGCATCTTCGCGATCGGCTCATCGCTTTGTGGGTTGAGAGCGGTCGCAAAGCCGAATGCTCCATGTATTCAAGATGCACAAAATTTATGGCGCAGACTGGCCTTCTCTGGTGAGAAACGTTAGCCATTGCGTATCCCACCGCTCTGTGTGCTTGCCGCGAGCTTTGTCAATGTTGATTGAGTCAGTTCATCTGGATCTACTGTTCTTCAAGTCGCCAGAAACAGTTCACTCAATCGATTACAGTCTTGGCGGTGGCGGCTAGAAGTGAAAGGCATGCAGTACTAGAGACAGTTGTACGAGGCGCAGGTGTACGACAGAATGAATCCTAGACGAAACTATTGGCGAATAGGATTGCAGAGACAAGAACCTGGGTTATCTCAATAGTTGAGCAGTAATCTTACCCAGTCCGGGTAATTTAGTATCGGAAGGAAGCCGTCCGCGTATTCCTATCATCGGACCCAAATTTTCATAGACGCCCCAGCCGCTTTAAAGGACGCCGAGGGATCGCTGCCATTGCACCCTACAACATCATCATACGGGAAAGCATACCCTCTACCGTCTTCTTGCCATTCGTGTACCAGCTTGCTATACCAGTTGAAAGCAGAGGTGGTGTTCGTAGGATAAAAATCACGAGCGCAGACACCAGGCTGATGTCGCCCTGCCGGCAACAGTAGAGTGCCGCGATTGAAGGCCGCCGCTAGCGCGGTCGCAACGCTGTTACGGGTGCTATTGTTCGTGCTAGCGAAAGGCCCACTGACGCAGGAAAATATGTCCCGGGCTGTCGGCTGCTTGAAGAGCAGACCAGTGTCCGGACAGTGCAGGAGGCTGGTCCCTTCGTCAATAGCGCACACAACATCGCCGGCGCTATCAATCTCTACCACAAGCGACTCGCTCGACCTGAAACGACTCCAGACGTTGGCTACTGTCTCAGCAAAGTATTCATCGAAGGCCCCCTCATCTATAAACGCGATATAGCTATTGGGAGAGTACGCGCGTAGCCACGAGGCATTCGCATCAGTGCCTTTAGCACACATGCTTCCCCATGGCCGGCCATCTAATGTAGATTGCCTGATCAGGCCTGCACAAATCCCTTCTAGCGCCCCTGCTTTCATTCCTGGGTAATAATAGGAGCCGCCGCTTTCCGCAGCAGTCTTAATATCAAATGAAACGCGCAGTCTGGACACCGCATCGACATATGTTGGATTGGCAACCAGACCAGACGGGGTGTTAGAGAACTCCAAGTAAGTAAAGCTCATATTCTTGTGAGTGGCAAAGCTCGGCTCTACGAGACTGCCAGCAGCGTATCCGAAATCCAACATGCCGCTGTCCGACAGCCACAGTCGACCGCTGCTAAGACATCCAGGGACCTCCAGGGCATGGGTTCTATTTGCTTGAACGATATGGGTGACTGATCCGTCGTCGATTGGGGCATTGGTCGGCTGCCACAGGCTGTTGTTCACTGTAATGAACGCATGTTGCCCATTCGATGCTATGCCGGTGACGTAAACAAGCACATCAACCTCTAGACCGTTAGAAAAGGTGATCGGGAGCGGTGCACATGCGGATACAGAAGACTTGCTGATGTCTCCCGAAGTCGATGGTGACCAGGTATAATTGTTGGTCGGGGACGACAGCACAAGCGGGCCAATACTTGCGGACATTTCCCTTGTCCGTTTACCGCGATGGGTTTGCGATATCAACCCACGGAAATGCGAACAGAAGTTAGCAAGTTGCTGCTTTGGTGATGACAGTCCTTTTTCCCAATTTTCGTTTTCTCTTAACTTGTTCTAGGTCTTAACCCCGGGGAAGCTAGGAGGAACGCGCCGGCAGGCGACTTTCCTCCTCATCTTCTATGCAATTCATCGTGACCTACTCTAACAACCCCATATCTCATGACTCGTTTAAGTATATATGAGACCACGTTGCTGCAGTACACTGCTATAATCTACACTTGCCCCTGCGGTGTTCGTTCGGACGGCTTCTTCTGTTCGAATGCCGGAAGTTAAGTAGGGTAGCGCAGGATATGTGAAAACCCGATTCCGTTAAAGTAGTCTATACATATTTTCTTCTCTTTCAAAAAGGTGAGCCAGCTAGTATTCTGAGCCGGCTACATCAAGGGTCAAAGTGGCAGAATAGCATTGTCTATGGTCTATGATCCGATTCGTGATTAGCGTTAGGGTTGCCTACATCTTAGATCGCGGTTCAACTTACTCGCTTTTCTACTGCGTCACTAGCTTCTCGATTCCCAAGGACATCGATTAATATTAAGAGAGGCTGTTTGTACTGTAAGGTTTGGAGGGACTCCAAGACGAGTAGATGGTGTCGCTGTCGGAAAGGATGCAAAATAGTAGCCTTTGTAGTAAATAATAGAATAATCTACACTAAATTATTACATATAATGTACTACCCTGTTCAAGCCACCAACAGCCAAGCATTCAGCTTATTCCACCCAAAGAAAAAGTCATTATACGCATACGACACGCTCGGTCGCACTTAGTGATAATACACAACCGGCGGGTTGAGATGGGATCAAACATAACGCCCTGACCGCCCGGTGCATAGACGTCCCCATGACTCTCTAGCACCATCGTGCCGCCGTTACCCGTTATCCCTGCTGGTCTACGATCCCGCCTGATGCCTGCGCTGAGCGACAGACCATGATATGATACTCTTCGCCGGGTGGGGCGAGGGACTGGTAGGGGTTGGTGTCGTTGGCGGGCTCGCTGCAGCAGTTTCCCGAGGAGAGGGACAGGTATGTGTAGCCTTCCCAGGAGAATTGATAGGCACCTTCCATGGAGCCGGTGACGAGGCCGGTGGGGCGGACGGTGGTATTTTGCGCGAGGTGCGTGATGGTTGCAAAGGGGACGGTGAGTGGGGGGTTGGACATGGGTGCTTGGAAGATGTTTTGCCAGAAGGAGCCGAAGTTGAGGCTCGGGGTGGAGGCGCCGGAGGGGAAGTAGAGGTTTGCGTCGATTTTGTTGTAGCGCGAGTCTTTGGGCAGGCCGATGCTGCCGTGGCCGGTCCAGGAGCCGGGCTCCATGGCGGTGGAGGTGGCGACGCCTATGTCGGAGTTCATGGAGCCCATTTGGGAGACGGAGTAGAGGTAGACTATCTCCACGTGCCGAAACGCACTCCGAGGCGAGACAGCTTGGTCGTGTGACACTGCCAGTGCCGGCGTGCACTACAATAAGTTCAGAGATGAAATCACGTAATAGAATATAACAGCTGCGGGGTGGGAATTGAGACCAAATATACTTAGCAACGAGACAAGTGATTATACATCGTATAGTGAGCTGCAACTTTCGGCGTCAGCGACCAGGCTGAAATTATACTATCTCTGTGGAAGCATTGAGTCTCGTTGCAGCCCTATAGGGATGTCGAAAAGCTGAAGCATGCTATAATCTGCCTTCTGCGACGTGATTTCACGAGGTGTCAGTCCTGCTGTACGGCCATGCTGAAGTTTTCGCTTGTCCGGATTTGCTCCATGAGTGAGTAGAATACTGGCAACAGAAATGGTGTCTTGAGGGCGAGCGACCACTACATTACCTTGGCAGACTTCGTGTAATGGTGTGCCAAGCTGGAAGTGTCCTCTTAGTCGGATAGACTTCTGATCCTGGAAGATCACATCGTCGCAAGGTGTTCCGAGTTGAGCAAGGTTGTATACTAGGTTGAGGTCGACGGGTCTTCTCCAGACTGCATAGTGCATGAGACTGCCTCGTTGGAGATCACCACCTCTTCCGAGTAGCAGATTGATCATGTCGTACTCTGCCGTTTGCACAGCCATTGACAGGCTTGTACACTCCACATCGCAGCTTGCATTTGGATCTGCTCCCTTGTCAAGAAGCCACGTGGCCATCTTCATGTCATGGACGCTCATACTGATCACTAGTCAATCACTATCCAGGCTCTGACTGAAGGTCGACGTACCTAAGAACAGGCGGCTGAGTGGGGCCTAGTGCCTTGTTGATGTCCCACCCATGGAAGAACAGCAGTTCGATCGCCCGATAGTTCTTCTTCGTGACTGCTTCTATAATTGCTTCTGGCGATGGTTGAACGTGTTGGTCCAACAGATACTGCAGTACTGTTGTGTGATTGCAAGTGATTGCGACCTTGAGAAGCCAAGAACACTTGGAGATAGACTTCTCTTGCCTTAGTATTCGCTCTACTCGCTCCTGGACGATGTCTATGTCACCCGTAGCAACTTCGTATTCCAGGGAGTCAAATTGGTCTGGGGGGAAAAACTGAGCCATCGTGCAGAGGGAGTGTGAGATTGAGATTAAGAACGAATGTGGATGTGGACAAATCGAAGCGGAAGCATATCACGTCACATGCTGCTCGGAATCGGGATCTTGATCCGTATGCAATGATAGCGTGGTCTCATGCATTCTCATTGGGCCGGGCGATCGCTGTCCGCCTCCGGGCTGCTTGTGACTCATTCTAATAAAGTTAGCAAACGAAGCACCGTCGCTCCGCTAACTGTAGCATTTAACGTCCATAAATTGAGCTTCGGGGTCACCGGTTGCATCTTGACCTGTTTACCCTTCTGAACAACAAATGGCGGGCCAACCACTTTTCACACGCCTCTACGCTCGCAATGCGCTTGAAGTCGTCGAGATGAACGAAGTTGCGTTGCTCAAACCCGGCTCTACAAAAAGAGCCATTGGTACAAGGGAACCCAATGGATGTTCCGCTATTTTAGTTGTGGGGAAAGGTATAATATTGGCCCATATTGCACCATATCCACCAGAAGCTGGAGCGAACACAAGCCAAACCGGCCTGGAGCATTTCCGAGACAAATTGCAGGAAGTGATCCGTCTTTTCAAGAAGAATCGCGACCTTTTCAACGGCGATTCTGTCTCTTGGAGCATCTTCGCTCGAATGGATGACGAAACTCCGCTTGACCATCATCGCGAAATTGCTACCAGAGCTTTCCGGAAGCACGGATTACCAAATGAACCTGCACATTATGAAGTGCATAATCCAAGACGTCTGGACCATCCAGCTGCTAAGGGAACCGTAGTTGGCATCATACAAGACGATGGTAGATGCGCAGCGTATCTTGAAGACACTGCTCTGGAGTTCGGCAATTTCGTACCATCTTCATCATCACAACCATCACTGCCACAAGCGGGAACTAGCACTGGTGCCTCGTCTTCAGATTTTTATTGGTACTACGACAGTTCCGGGCCGCTCTATCACCGAATCGAAAAAAAGCAATGGGGTCGGTCGCAAAGAGAAGCACCAGCGAATGAGCGAATTTGGACGAACGACCGGTGGAGCATGTGGAACGGATCGAGGTGGACTACACTATGACAAGGGACGTCACATGCATTTATAATAACAACGATGATATATAGTGACTGGAGACTCAAAGAAAGCCTTGGACTTGTCAGGTATCGGAGGATGTGCTCAGCGCTGGCTTAGAATTACTTCATCTGCTTCGAACTAGCGGATCTAGTCACAACCAGGTCCTCTTTTGTGGTTGTCAGTACGAGAATGCACGCGCCAGTACGTCGTGATACTTACCGGTACAAGGCCGGGTCGGGGAAGATGTGCTGTCTTGCGTTGCCACAAACACCCAATAGTTCATTCGAGATAGGGCAGAGTTCCAGACAGATCTTCGCATCCACGTACTTCTTGACCAGCTGCGGATGCTCCAGTAAGGCATAGCCATGATCGATATGCCTGGCATCGAGGAGCAATGAATCATAGAGGTTGCTGTTGTCCGGGTTGTGGAAGCCCGCCTGAGCTTCGGATTCCAGTGGCATGAACCCGCCCGTATCCAGGAGTGTCTCACCGGCATGCAACATGAACGGTATGCTGATATTAAATCTCTCGCATGTCTTCGTGAATGCAAGCAGGAGATCAGCATAGTGCCCAATGTGGTTTGGGCGGTCTTCAGCTCCGACCAGATCGAAACCACAGACGACGTCAGGATATGCCTGTTTCAACTTGATGCCGTGTTCTAATTCTGACTTCATCTTGGCCGGTGGAATGCTTCGAGGTGTGCAGTAGATAATTTTAAGCCCGAATGGGAATCGGTCACCGTATTGCTGCTTCTTCTTCTCGGTTCCTTCACAGACGATCTTCATCTGCTCGTTGTGTCCGAGCTTGCTCACACCTTCGTCGGTTGGTCTTGACTTGTCCATGAGCATTGGTCGAAGCTCTGCATACATGACCTTGTCTAGGACCATGTTGTCAATGACCTCGCGAATGTACCGGCGGTAGGCGCTCGCATAGTTCACGAGCCCCTTGAACGCACGAATACCCTGGTTGAAGCACGCACATACATCATTGCTAGTCTGGTGCTCGGCGTAAGCTTTCTTGTGTGTAACAATCATCTTTTCTCGTGCCCAGCATGCTGCAAGGTCGAGTTGTTCGTTGCAATCGTCGGCTCTGTACTCCATTGGCACTTCGTTGTAAGATACGCTTGCGGGAAACTGCTTCCGAAAGTCCGCCCACTTCATCCACGAAGCGTTCGTTGGGCTCTTCCAGTCGATGTCGTACTCCTCTGTGAAGATGTTGCTCGTTTTCGTGTCCTTCGGCAAAACACTGAACTAAATCTCCGTTTCGGCGAAATCTTGACGCTTCAGTAGCAGCTTTTTGCTGCGGAGGAACATGGTGTCCTTCAGGTTTCGTGCATGCGGGAATAGCTTCTCTGGAGGCAGTTCAGCGTTGAAGTGAAGATGGAGGAGCCTTCATGAAAGCAGAGACAATTACCAACTTCTAGAAATCTAGAGAAGGCGCAACGGGGCTCGAAAGCCGACCGGTGGGGCAATGCTCAGCCGCGGACTCATATTTGCCTCACATTGCCTCAGGTTGCAAGGGAATTAGTCAGGCAAGAGGTCTTATGATGCTCCTGGTCTCTGCAGGGGCGCATTGTGGAGTCCATTTGACTTGTACTGCCTCCCGATGAGTCGGAATGAATAACATGTGGAACCTCTTCGGCCGCACATTCGATCAAATGAACGCCTTCGGACGTACAGGCGGCCTCAACCAGCGCTAATCAGGTTGAGGCAACAATGCTAGCACTTGGTGGTAGCCACAGCCACTATTTTATGCAGTGGGTCAGCACGAGGCCGCGAAAGAGCCAGTGATACGAGTCATCGTGCCTGAGCGACAAAGGTCATGGCGCAGATGAGGTGGAGCTCTACTCGGCCACGTCTTGTGATTTGCGCCGGGAGCTTTCCGCCCGAAACATGATCATGGCTAAGTCCGACCGGCAGTAATATAAAGAAGCTTGTCCAGAATCTCGCTCTTAGCCCGACACACCCCGGATCCGATTCCAACACCATGAAGAGCCGCAACTCCAATGAAACCCACGTTCCGGAGCTCTACAGTGGTCTCACCAACGAGGGCTATTCCCAGTACAAGAAAGACAACCTTGAGGCATGGGAGCAAATGGCCGAGCAATGGGAGACCTTCCAAAGCCTCGAGGGCGCCGACGGCAATGACATGTTCAACCAGTGTCTCCTGCCTGTAGTCGCTGAGCTCGCCGGTCTGCGGACTGAGGACGAGCGACCGGTCAAGAAACTCGAGCATTGGCGACCCGGTGAGCGGGTTCTGGACCTGGGCGCTGGCAGCGGCATTGTCGCACGCATGTTTGCAAAACATGGCGCGCACGTGACCGCACTCGACAATTCTCAGGCAATGCTTGAGAAAGGCAGAGAACGAGCAACGAGGCAAAATCTCTCTGGCCAGATCACTTACGACTATATCGACTTGACGGACTACTCCATCATGGAGAATTACATGCGAGACAAGGAGTCAGTATGCCGCCTACCAGCCTTTGCGCTCTTTGCTAACGGTCTGCGAAGACCATATGACATTGTCACGATCAGCACGACAGTGAAGTCATTGCCAGATATCGAGCCGCTAGCCAAGGCTTTGCCACTGATGCTCAAGCCTGAAGGACGGTGCGAATCCCAGTGCATTGGTATATGGACTTTACTGACTTTCGTAGAATCGTTCTAGTAGAACTTCACCCTGCCTTCTCCAAACCCGCGGGACACCGCGGTATGGAGATCTTCGAGAACCCGAAGACTGGCAAGCAGCAACTCAGCACCTACATCAAAGTGCCACAATATTTGAACATCCCACCAACGAAGAGCGAAGCTGTGCGAGGCCAGCCAGAGCCACTGGTAAGCTGACCACCACACATGTGATGGACTTACATCTGACATTCGCAGTGGTTCTTTCATCGGCCGTTTTGGGCGCTCATGGATCCATTCTTTCGGAACGGACTCGTGCTTGATGCTATGCGAGAGCCAGCTTTCAAGGGCGACCCAATGCCATCACAAGCTCAGAACTACCACAATTTTCAACAGACGCCGATGTTAGTAGCGATCCGTTTGCGACATGCGAAGTTCCTGTAACGTTGTAAGAGCATAAATATTAATTCTAACGTTACCGTGAGCAATCCCGCTAAGCTTTTCGTGCCCTTCACGAAGTTAGCAGCACACTCCATGCGCTTTTATCGATCTGACGGAGACTATGGTGCCACGCCTTTCACAAAGTCAAAGGATGCGGCTATACAGTTCGCCTCCCTGCCCGGCAAAGACATCGCTCAATACGCCCATTACAGCATTCGCAACGTTTTGAATAGTACTCCGTGGACAGATCGGCATGCGCCATATATCTGGCGCTTTACTGTAGCGTTCTCGGTTCGAAGCATTGAGTGCTATTGGGCGAAAACATCTTCCGTTCATGCTAGGAGAAGCCCAAAAGGAAGAGCAGTTAAAGGCACAACAAGCTGCTGCAAGACAAGAAGCAGCTCGTCAAAGGAAGGCTAATAGCTGCAAAGGCAGTAGTCAAAGACAACCTTCAAGCCTCAAAAAGCTGTTGTGAAGTTCCTAGCGCATCAGGATGCTCTTGGCTACCCAGTCCGAGTAAAGCACATAGAATCGATAACTTAGCCGTCAGTCTTGCACGCCGGCGGGTGCCGGCGGACAGGCCAAGCAGTCCTCCTGGCAAGAATTGGGCTCAGCTGTTCTACAAACGGCACCCAGAGCTTCAGACGAGTACGACTAGCGCTTTGGACTAGAGTCGTTACGACATCTACGATAAGGCAGCACACTGGTTCAACGTTGGACCCGACTATCCTACAAGAAAATGTCTGCAACATGGACGAGACTGGCATCATGCTTTCCAAGCTAGGCTCCGCCAAAGTCCTCGTAAGTAGGGACAGCGAACGCGGTTACAGAGGTGCACGTGTGAAGCGGACCACGATTACCTCAATCGAATGCGTGAGCGCCGACGGTAGGTATTTGAATCCCATGATATGGCCTGCATCCACGCATGAATCAAATTGGACCACACATCCCACCCCGGGACGGCAGTATGCGTACTCAGACAGCGGCTATACCGACTCATATCAGTCCGCAGTGGCTGAAGCCAGTATTCGACCCCCAGACCAGGGAACGAGCTAATCACAAACCACGTGTACTAATATGCGATGGCTTTGAACGCACGAGACCCTCGAGTTGTTAGAGTTCTGCTTTGAGAACAACATCGTGCTTTGTCGTCTGCCTTCGCACACATCCCACAGGCTTCAACCGTGTGACGTTGGTGAGAGCTCGATAGTCTTATCAGTTCGCAGTACCTTGGGTTGTGACGAGCGGATGGATGTTAGACATCGAATGAAAAAAGATGCTGAAGATGAAGAAGCTAAAACGCAGCATTTGGACTTTACTAGAACTTATCAAGTAAGTTAAGTTAAACTAACTTAGCGCTGTGCGGCACCTACATAGGAGGTAAGTAATAGACTACTCTAGCATGATTGGGCTACGACCAGCCGGCGCAGATGCAGAAAGCTAGTAGCGGACATGACTGAGTCGCGCGTCCCTTGTTCTGATAACATTTAGAGTAAATACAAATGTCGTTTAGAAATGTCTAAATATTGCAGTTTTGACTAAATAAGAGGGGACTGGTCTAACCCAGCTGAGTACAATCATTTGTGAAGTCCGCTTCGAAATATTAGGCCCACGCAGCTTTATCTCCTCTCACGGCTCATTTGCTAGCGAATACGTCTCAGCCTCGGGACGCGACGAACTCCCTGTAATGCTGCGTATATAGTCACTATCGATGTTCTCGTAAGGAGGTAGCGTTGTTGTCGGAGGGCTAGACGTAAAAGTGGCGACTGACGAAGCATCTGCGATAGTGCTGTGGTTTGTCTTCACCATGTCCAAACAGCTGGGCAGCTGGACATCCTCAATGTCTTCAGCGAAGTCGAACTCCTCTGCGACGATTCGGCCATAGAATAGAAGGTGGCCTGTATTATCGCACACACGGTAACTCCACGAGTCGCTACCGTTAAAGCTTTGATCTGTGAATGCGGCCGCAAAATCTTCCAAGTCCTTGACGAAGGCGGACGTTACCGTGCCATTCTTTTCGTGAGCCTGTATCTTCAAGCCGCCCACCTCATTACCATCGAACTCGTAGTACTGAAAACTTGTGGGAAGTTGAAGTGGATGACCATCACTCCAGTTTCTGCCAGACGAAACCGTAACATTTCCAAACCCAGCGCGCCCAGCTGCCACACTGTAACCCGAAGGGCTGGCACCCAATTGAACGATCAAATGACGGAACAGGCTAGTCACACAAGGCTCCTTGGTTTGAATGACGGGGCCATTCACGTCATGCAGCGAGCAGCTCCCGTACAGCTTTTCGACAATGGATTTGCCGTCTGCTCGGGGTGTGGCGCCGAAAAAGGCGGTGTCCCCGTGGTGGATAAATTCAGAGGCATAAGCATAGGATAGGGTTGCAGTCAGAACGGCAGAAGTCCAAAACATGATTTCTTCGAGCAGCGAGACCAAGTTGCAAACTCTCCGGGCCGTTCATCGTATCCATCACAATAACATTTGTACTCACGTCAGTGAGACCAAGAAATGCCAGGGTAGAAAATACAATAGCCCCGGGGGTCGAAACGATAACTTATGGGCTCAATGGGAATAACTCTCTTCAGAACTATGGTCACTAATCACGACACAGTGCTCGAAAACTGCATCGCTTCTTCCCTTCAGGAGTTTCCTTCCTAGGCCCACTGCACCTGTGGACGAGAACCATTGATCTGGCGCAATCCGCGAATTGGTATATGAGTCTTCTTGTCGTCCACTACACGTGTTGTAAGTTTCACCATCTACGAGCAGTGATATTGCTTACACGGAGGGCGTGCAGAGACTCACCTCTTACGCGCCTGATTCGTAAAGGGCTAGTATCAGCGAATCGAGTAAGTTCGCGTGACCAACGAGGAGTCGTAGATTGTGTTCTCTTTGCTGTGCCTCGCTAAGAAGTTTCATTCTGACCATTGACGCCAGAGCATAGACTGCCGTTGGTGGCATAAAAAGCTGATAATAATTGCGATCGAATATCTCAAACTGCGTAGTCCACGCTCACAAGTACTGTATATGGAGCAACATTAAAGCCTTTGAAAGCTAACGTCCATCCCCACGTCACGAGCCGCCCGCCGTAGCGAGCCACATTCTCGTTGTGAACCCTCTCACGTTCTCCCAACCGTGCATATAAGTATGTTTCTGTTGCCGTAACACTCTTTAGCCATTTCTACATCTACACGCTGTCGCATTACACAATAGCGGCAGTCCTTACTTTGCTATCGATTGATCCGTTGCCCCTGCTACTCGTTTGTCATTCGCTCTACCCCTTATCGGTTGCGGGTAGAGGCTTGTTGTCAGATATCGGTGTGCTGAGACGAAGCTTCAGCTAGCAATTAAAATGCTTGCGAAGTTTGGAGTCTTTTTTCCACGTGGAATGTTCGATCCGAGAGTTTCTCCGATGGAGGAGTACCTTCAGGTCGTATTATCGTTTAGGGTGCATTAGCTCGCCGCTAGCAGGATACCAAAATAACGGGTATTATTGCTGGCCGCTTTCCTTCTTTCAGATCTCTTTCAGATTTCTTTCAAATGTGATTGTAGCGCACAGTCGGATTCTAGAAGTGTCCATGGCGCGTTTCATTGTCCCTGATCTATTCTTAGGCACATTTCGCCGGTACCTGCAGCTGCCCTGCCTTGTCAACCCCCTTCCTTCCCTTCAACACTCCAACATCGTCGGCTAACATGGACAGAGCCAGTCTGGCACTGGCAGAACACAATTCCGCCGATCAACCTATCTCATTTCGTGCACGCGCAGATCGTAGCAATGTACCCCGAACCACCCTCCAGCATCGTGCACGCGGTCGACGGTCGATTCAAGAGAAAGCCCAAAGCCAACAATATCTATACCCATGGGAAGAGAAAGCGGTCGTGAAGTTTCTAGCGCATCAGGATGCCCTCGGCTGCCCAGTCCGAGTAAAGTACATAGGTTCGATAGCCTTCAGTCTTGCACGCCGGCGGGTCCCAGCGGACAGGCCAAGCAGTCCTCCTGGCAAGAATTGGGCTCAGCTGTTCTACAAACGGCACCCAGAGCTTAAGGCGAGTACGACTAGCGCTTTGGACTGGAATCGGTACGATATCTACGATAAAGCAGCACACTGGTTCAAGGTTGCCGGAGACCTTTTCCAGGACCCGGCTATCCTACAGGAAAATGTCTACAACATGGACGAGACTGGCATAATGCT